AATCTAATAACTTTGTACAACTCAAATATAATTAGCAGATATTTCAATTATACTTCCTTCTGATAGGAAGATCATGAGTGCAAATCCCAGTACTGCCAAGCTGTCACTGGTGGGCCCTTGAGCAACTGCTCTTAACCCTCAACTGCTCAGTTGTATAAATTAGATGAATGTAAGTCAATCTGGATAAGGCCGTCTGCCAATGCCATAAACATAAACGTTGTGTTCAGCCAGTTATAATATACTGGGATGACGATTGTGCATGGAGTTTAACTAACTTGAGTTTCCTTGGAGGTCTTAAAGGAATAATTATTGCTGGGCACAATGCAACAACAACTAATCTAAGACTAAATATATCAAGCATTCCCAGAACTGATCTACTATAATGCTTTTGATCAGTACTGCATAAAGACTAAAAGCACATGAAAATGACAGATGCTGTGCTGTCCTTCAGTGACTAACTGGCGTTGCAAACAAATTTTCCATTAAGCTAGAAGTTGCCAGTGTTTACTGCAAAGTTTCGGAGGAATCTCTGCACTTAACATTGTGATCTAACACTTCACGGCTTATTCCTGCAATATGTATGATACTGACATAGAACAGATATACATAATTGGTTTTCATTTATGCCGGATGCACTTGTACTTTTGAAAGCACCCTGTATGAGATCGGAAACAGGTTGTTACTTGCAGAATACATCCTGCTACACTATACCAAAAAGACATGTTTACATTACAAAGGTATAGGAGAAAATGTCTCCAGTATACGAAGCTCTGCAAAGTACTAATAATTACCTTTGGGCCAAGGTCAAGCTCTTCATCGTCATCATCATCATCATCATCTGTAGAGGGCCAGGAATCAGCAGGACCACTTTTTGATGCTCTAAAATTTGATTTGTTTATTAGGAAGATGATCTCATATTCACACACAAGTCTCATCAGTTGAAGAATTCTAGTTTTTCTGCATATTTTCTTACCTACTGATGGAGTCTGCATGTGAATTGTCCTCTGTATCTGGAAACCACAATTTACATATTTATTATACATCATATATTCGGGTTGCGGATATATTTTAATTATGCTATTTTTACATTTATGGTTTACTAAAATCTTGTTTGTAAGCAATACTGATATAATTGGCAGAAGAGTCAGAACAAAAGATTTGGGTTGTATTAGTATGAAATGAAATCAATCGCTTAGCAATTTCAGGTGACATTTATACGTTAGTTTAGCTGACTCACTCCATCTTCAACAACACAAATTCAGTGGGATCCAAAAGTCTGAGACCACCAATGACAACACTTCTGTTTTGTATTTTTTAATTGAATACAAACATTTGTATTATATTATCAGCAATCATTTGAGTGAAAATCAGAATTTCTTAGCATTTGGCCTTTTGCTTTAAAGACAGCGTGAAGTCCAAGGACTCCATAAGATTGTCAAAACCATCAGAGTATCTCCTGAACACATGGTATAAGACTAGTTAGTTAACATCCATCCATCCATTTTCTGTACCGCTTATCCTTACTGGGTCGCGGGGAACGTGGAGCCTATCCCAGGGGGCATGGGGCATAAGGCGGGGTACACCCTGGACGGGGTGCCTATCCATTGCAGGGCACAATCACATACCCATTCATAAACTATGGACACTTTTGGACATGCCAATCAGCCTACAATGCATGTATTTGGACTGGGGGAGGAAACCGGAGTACCCATAGGAAACCCCCGCAGCACGGGGAGAACATGCACACTCCTCACACACAGGGCTGCAGCGGGAATCGAACCCCCAACCCTGGAAGCGTGAGGCAAACGTGCTAAATGCGCCACCATGCCCTCAAAGTAGTCAATATTTACAACATAAATTTTCTTACATTTAAATAGTGATCTATAAACAGTGCACAATCTTGAATATTGAATAATCAACATACTGAACATTTTCAGTTTCTTTGTTTTAAAATATTCAAAATTCTTTCCAAGTGGTCTCAGACTTTTGGACCCCACTGTATATTTTCATTAACTAGCTGATTTGTGGTAAACAATATTATGTCTGCTCTGTGGCATATTAGCAGTTTTGTTCATCCTTGTTATACCTTTCCCTTCTTCTTTTGCACTTCCTCCTGCAGTTATCCATTGACATGCAAATGTGAGCAATATGAATAGGAGGAAAATAAAAGAACTTCAGATGGACCATTGTACAGCGTTATGAAATGTTAATGTTATTAATATGGTAATGCAACATCTAACAGGAGTTCTCAAGATTACATTCAGTATAGCCAATAATGAAACTTGAAGAATCATTCTGAACCATGTGTATCATATGAAACACTGAATCTTAGGAAAGCACTATACATTCATCACTAACAGAATTCAGGGGTGAGTGACGTTCAGCACTCACCATCTTTCCCTAGAGTCGGACCTCCAAGAGCAAAGACGGCCTCAGGACTGCCCAATAATGAACTCTGCTTATTTTTATTGAAGGCAAGATGAGAGGGTGACTGCAAGGGCTTCCGCTTCGTCCCATGCTCAATGATTAGATGTGAACAACTGAAAATTATTTGCAATAGACATTATGTCTCTATACTGTTTCTGCAAATAGGGAAAGATAGAGTAGTACTTTTGTGGCTGAAAATTGAAATCACACTGAAAAGTATACAGAGCACTTACGCATGATGCCCATTCATTACAGCATAGTCGTCAGATGACCATCCTTTATTATCCTTCACAGTGATATCAGCATTGTACTGCAAGAGCAGTCGCACCATACTGATTTGGCCATTGCAAGCAGCAATCAGTAAAGGAGTTCTTATTGGCAAAAAAAATGTGTAAATGATCTGAAGTAGTTCCTGGCAGTTCAGTGTAATTACAGCATGCATTATTTGTGATAACAAGCAACTGTTGGTTGTCAAAGCCGATCTTTTACTTGAGATTTAAATTTAAGGACTAGCATCCTTACCGGAACTCCTGGTTTTGGAGATTAACATCTGCCCCCTCCTTAAGTAAAAATTCAGCCATCTCTGCATGATTTTCTTCCACTGACAATATCAAGGGAGTATTGCCTTCCTATAAATGCATTAAACAAAGGGTTTAACAAACCACAGAATAAGTTTAACTTTGTTTACTTCCATTTGTGAATAAAAATGTAATATATTGATATCCATTTAGATATTTACCTAATGCCTAAACGTATTTTATGTATCGATCTAAAACCTAAACACCTAGCATACTGGGAAAATAAATGACATGATATTATCCAATGAAATCTGTGATCTTATCAGAAAGACAACTACAGTTCTCTTCGCTCTTTCAGCTGTTGGTTTGTGAGGATACAATTTCATGGTGCCACTAGGATCCACTAACAGAAATGTATCCCTCACCAGTGGTGTAGGGATAAAGCTAAATGGAATGCTAAATGGAAAGGCCTGGTGAAAACCCTGTTGTGGCTTCACCTTGTTCTGGGCATTGATGTTCGCCTCGTGTTCGAGGAGGTTCAGTGCCACAGGCAGCGAGGGGATGCGGGCAGCCAAGTGCAACGCTGTGTTCCCGTTGATATCCACCAAGTTGGGATCTGCCTCATGCTCCAGAAGGATGGACACACAGCGATCCTGTTGGCACTGCACAGCCTACCAAGCCCCACAGAACACCCAACAAACACAGTTAAGGAGGCACACGGAGTAAAGATTGTGCTCTTCTTTAAAGTTAATGCTCTTGGAGAAAAACAGAATGAACCGTCTAACTTTGGGTTACAATGATGCAAAACAGTATTTTTTTCTGACTGTCACTGATACTCTGGCATTTACGAAAACGTTAACACACATGCAAACATCTGGTCATACCTTCATTAAGGCTGAGCGGTTCTGATTGTCACATAGGTTGAGTTTAACTTTGTTTTCCACCAAATACTGAACCACTTCTGTGTGTCCATGAACGCAGGCTATATGTAATGCAGTTCTGCAGATCCAAAACACAGTGACAAATACAGCTTTTCCATACAACTCAATTTGATCATGTTGTGAAAGCATAATGATATACATAGAGTATAAGACAAAACTATGCATGTCTCAAAGCTAATAATAAGAAACATTAATTCCAAATAATACCAAGAAATACCAAAGATCAGACTATTTAGGACCAATGCTGAATGTGCTGTTGAATTCTCGATCAGATTGGTGTTGATGGTAGTTTTCTATAACAGCATGGATCTAACAGATTTCATGGCTGTATTTCAAATCACAGGCTTATATATTATAATGCATTCATTCTAATACTGTATGTTATAATTTCTGTTGTAACTGTCCATTCACAGGGTCTTGTGTAGCAGACTATTCAGCCACAAGAGCCTTAGAGAGGTCAGGCACTGATGTCGGACAAGGAGGCTTGGGGTGCAGTCAGATACACTGTAATGTTGGAACATGTTTGCCCCAGGAGTTCCCTACCAGAGACCACGCATTCCCTCATGCAGGTGGTCAACGGGAAACTGCAGGAGTTCACCAGTAAAATTGAGAATATTCACATGGTATAGCTGGATGACATTCAGCAGGAGGCTAAGCGCATGATCTCCAGGTATACAGTACAGATTTGAATTACAGTGAATGCTGCTAAGTCTATTGTGTTTAAATATGGTTTGTTACAAAGTCCATACAGGTTTCCACATCCTTTTGGCCCTTTAGTGTATTTAACATTTATGGAAGGAGTGTCAAATGTTGGAGCGTCTTCAGGACATGACTAGTTGATTTTTTTTTTTGTCTTATTAAATTCAAGAGACAATTAAAGAGAAAACTAAAGTCTGGTGAGGGAACAACTGTTTACTCCTGCTATAATGACTTTTTTTATTACACTTACGGCATTTGGCCGAAGCCCTTATCCAGAGCATCTTACATTTATCTCATTTATACAACTGAGCAGTTGAAGGTTAAGGGTCTTGCTCAAGGACCCAGCAGTAGCAGCTTGTCAGTGCTGGTATCTGAATCTGAGCCTTCCAATCAGAAGTCTAGTTATCCGTCAACGGGCACGGTGGCTTAGTGGATAGCATGTTTGCCTTGCACCACCAGGGTTGAGGGTTCAAATCTCGCCTCTGCCCTGCCAGAGCTTGGATGTCCTCCCCGTGCTTCTGGGATTATCTCCTTCTACTCTGGTTTCCTCCACCAGGACAAGACGTGAATTGCAGGCTGACTGGCAACTCTAAATTGTTCATATGGTATGATTGTGCCCTGTGTTGGCACACCGTCCAAGGTGTCCCATGCCTTGTGCCCCAAGTTCTCCGGGATTGCCCCATGTAGCATAAGCGGTTTGGATAGATAGATATAGTTATCCGTCTTTTGAGTAACTTGAAGCTGGAACCAACAAATCATTAACAGTACTTTTATGACATTGTTAGGGATGAGTAATATGCCTACAACTCACCTGTTCTCTTTATCAAGCTGGTTTAAGTCGTTCTTTTTGGTGAGTTGTTTGAGTTTAGCCACATCTCCATTGAATGCAGCTTTGTGCACCTTGCCTAAGTCTTTCTCCTTCAGGTCATAGCCAACAGAAAGCACACTGGCTGTTTCAGACACACTTGGAGAGCCTTTTCTTCTTTTGGTGAAATGGAAAATTTTCTTCATCTTCAGCGGTGCAGTCCACAGGAGCAATACTTCATTCCTGTTACAGGTTTACCTCAGGCTCGTGTGCTGGCACTGGCTCATCGCGTCTTCCCGTTATCTTACTAAAAATAAAACGTGTAAGAGGATTCACTTTAAGCCTTTTAAAGCCCAAGGACAGAATGCATCATTGAGCAGAGATGCAAGTGAGGAGGACTTTAAGGAGTCAGTCTAGTCTCAAACTCCACCGGTTCTACATGAGATATGACGTTAATTGAAAGAAAACCTCTTCTTGTCTAAGTTTAATATTCGAGATAAATAAGATAGCATCACAGGGTATCGGAGGTCAATCAATCAGCCAAGCAATAAGCAACGTTACATGACAATACAGCAAGCTAATGAACCCACCAGCTGCACACGTCAACGTTACAATGCAAATAACCTACGTCCCTGGATATTTAGCTGCGACTCGTTTTGTTCACTGGTCCGATCTGTTTGTTAGATTATATTTAAATGCATCCTAGTTTTTAGAGCTAGTTCTACAGTGTTAGCTAGTTAACATTACTGGCCAACCGACCAGCTCTTAACTTAGCTCACCTTGCTGATCAACAGGCAAACTGGGAGGGTCTTCATTACACATCAGTCTCACACATCAAATAAATATACAGAGCGAAATGTGTTAAGTTTTAAGATGAACTAGCGAACCAGAAGCGCAGAACTGAAATCCCCCCAGTTTAGCTAGCCAGCTAGCCGAGTACCAAGAGGACGCTGAATCGACGCTAGGCTAGCTCGGTAACCAAGGCAACGCAACACAAGTCTGTGCATCTGATTCAAGCTGCTGTTTCGAAGCAGATCAAATCTGGTTTGAACTCGGCAATAAATTAGATTTTTCATTTACTTCATGATGTTATTAACTCGGAACAATTAAAGCAAAAAACAAAACAACTTTTTAAATGAGTCTCAAAGCGTTCAAATGTACATTGGATATGAAAATATGCCCGCCATTTTTGTTCAGTGTTATCTAGTGTAAACGTTGAACCACTCTGTACTTTGGTTGTTTTTGTTTTTATTTATTTTATTTTTTTTACACACCGGAAAAATATCCAGAAGGCGGAGCTAGCCGTTTCATTTTCAGTTCGCGTTCGCTTGGATGGTTTGAATCAATGATGTCCGGATTGTCCAATCAAATGACGTGATTTCATACTTCCCCTAAGTGGACCGCCCATTATGTGTCAACTCGTTTTCTCTCTGGTTTTGATTGGGCACGTTAAGTCTGACGGACAAGAATGTCGACCAATGGCTTGACGCGTAGCCTATGATTGGTGTTCTCCGAATTTTAAACTACTTAAACCGTTTTGAGCGGTTTCCTCGAATAGACGACTTTATATTATACCTGAGAGTAATTCCTGTTGTTTTTGTAGCGCGGTGGGGTTTTGAATGTTTATCATTAAAGGAGACACGGGGGCAGAAGAAGACTTCAAGTGAACTATTAGGCTTTTTTTTTGTTTTTTTTTCTTTTTTTTTTCTTTTTTCCATAACAAAAGGTAGAACGATTCGGTGTTTCTTTGTAGTTGATAGTATGTTGTTTGTTGCAAAGCTCCTACGGTTTGCAAAGTATCTCATCAATGTTCGCTTAGTAACGATATTGCAACGCTTTTTTAATCAGACATATATTTTAAAACCTTGTGTTTTGATGCACGTATTAATGATTACTTATGCTAATGATTAAGACGCTATGCTAAGTTTTTTTTTCCCATTAGCTAGCTAGCTAGTTACTCTCCGCTAACTAGCTAGCTACAAAAAAAATAACGCCTTGACTAATCAGCTAGGTAATTAGACGGATCATGTTGTCGTGATTTTATATCAATACATCTTATTTAGCCATTACAGAATGAGCTTGGAAAAAAACATGAACTTGTGTCTAATTTAAGGTTAGGAGGACACTAGATGAGTGGATACAGTGCTGTGGGCCAGTTTTCATGGCATAATTCACAAAGAAAGGACTAAAGCCTGATCTTTGTCATATCTAGCTCCAATGAGTATCCTGTACGGTTAATGTTGACAGTCTTGGTTTTTACTTGAACTATATATTCCTGTTTGTGGAGAAGTATTTTAAAGGGGTCAGTGTATATAAGGTCAAATCTTTTTTCAGTGAAGTGATCTACAGTTCAGCTCCTGAGCAAAACGCGTACATCATGTCCATCGTGCATTTCCTTAATCTGCTGGGGTTTTTATTTATTTGTTCGTTTTTAAATGTTGTGCGTTGTTTTAGTTCCGACCTCATCCCTTGTTGAATAATCTCATTCCATGTTTGTTTGTTTGTTTTTAAAGGGACGCAGTCATGAGTTCCCTGCCGGAGGCCACGCGTTCCCTTGTGCAGGTGTTCAACGGGAAGCTGCAGGAGTTCACCAGCGAGATTGAGAATATTCACATGGTATGGCTGGAGGAGATTCAGCAGGAGGCTAAGCGCATGTTCTCCAGGTATGCAGTGCAGGGTTGACTCGGACGTGAAGTGAAGGGAAGCATGGCGAATGCTGCTGTTTCCATCGTGCCTAAATACGTTTTCGTTACTGTACAGATTGAGCTTTGTTGCCATGTGAAGATGAATGAATTGTCTGGGTTTGTCTTGCAGCGACTTCAGCACAGAGCCAGAGCTTATGCCAAAGACTCCATCGCAAAAGAAGACGAACCGCAGGAGACGCGTGTCCACCGAGCTCGGCGAAGCTCGTAGCAAAAGGCGGTGAGGGGGTATAGGGTTGAGTCGGTGTGCGCAAGAGTTTAATTGCGCTTGAACTTATTGAGTTTGCGTACTATATGGCGGAAGTAATGCAGTATTTAAACGTGGAGTTTGGTTACTTTTTATAGCCTGTTTTACAGTTATTTGTTTGAACACAAACAGTAAATCCTTATGAATCTTTAAAGTTATCGTGTGCCAATCTTTTTTGTGGTTTAATTTTTTTCTCTCTTTTCAGTTTCTCTAAGGGGAAGCGCAGTAACCTGCGACGTTCCTCAGTCCAGCTCACTCTAAATTCAATCTCTGAGTTGGTGGTTACACAAGCCCCCAATGACAGTACTGACAGTGTGGCCGAGGAGCCTGCTCGCCGCACACGCCGTAACAAAGCCGCCGCCGCTGTAGACAGCGAGCCGGTCAAACGTAGCACACGCAACAAAGCAGCTGCCAAGGCAAAGGAGCAGGCTGAGAAGGTGGAGGAGGAGCTGGCAGCTGCTCCACAGTCACCTGAGAATGTTGCAAAGGATAAGGAGCACTCGGTAGTGGAGTTGTGCAGCTCTTCAACTTCTGTGCAGACACTGGTGTCTGAGGCCGTAGTGAAAATACCCTCGGTTGAACGTCTTTCTGCTGAGAAGCTGCTCCAGTGCTCTCCCTCTCCAAGCCGCTCTGCACAGAAGATTACCATCGCAGCTGCAGGTGGCCAGGCCTCGACGAGGAGCTCAGCCCGACACTCCCTGGTAGTGCGGCGCTCTCTGGCAGGCCTCAGGCACAGCATGACTCAGGAAGCAGTGCGCCGTGCTTCCCGGCGCTCGTTTCTGAAGAAGAAGGCCAGGCTGGGCAACTCGACATGCAGCAGCACCATCAGTGGTGAGAGCTGCTAAGATTAGCAATTAGGATAGTTAAGCTTATGAAAAATTGAGTCTTTCCATAAGCCAGATTTCTATCCGAGTCAATTTTTGGCAAAAAAAATTAAATATTTTTAGCATTTTGAAATGTAGGCAATAGAAACAGTATCAAATAGTGTGAAACATTAACTTTAGTGGATACATTTGTCCATAAGTGAAATGATTTGGGAGCATTTTGACAGGAAGAAAACTGCAGTTACTGACTATAAAATACAGCACATTAAAATGGTAGAGGTTATAATTCCTTTGTGTGATGTCAGGCTATGCTGATCTTATGTGGAAGTTATGCACTTTGGTGATTTGGTAAGACAACAATAATCATAAAGAACATTGTAAATCCGTGCACTGTAGATCAGTTTTCTGTTTGTGTAGCTACATTTAGCAGTGTGATGGATGAGGCAGGTAAGTTCACAATATTATTGGTTTCAATGTGTCAAATAAGTTTTTTGGGGTTTTTTTTTGCTAACACGGGAAAAATGGACGTCTGGTTGCTGCAGGAAGTGATGTGACCACATAAAGCATTTTTATCACAAAACATATTTTTAGTGGAATAGAGCTCCTGGCAGAAAACTGAGCATTTTTTTCACATTCAGTGCGTGCTTAAACATGTTGGGAGCTTAGCTATGGATTTTGTAAGAAATGGTTGCACTAATTGACACTTAACAGTTGTGATTTTACAGAAATGGGAGCATCAGTTCATAGTGATTTTGTTGTTAACTTGGATGTCGGACTCTGATTCCAGGCTTAGTCATAACTCTGTTACAGATGAGGGATTTCAATTTGGGGTTTTTGGTAATGATTTACAATTCCACATACACTGCTTTCCCATAACAGAAAAGAGATGAACAGATCCCATCTCAGAAAC